TCCTGCCAACCTAATACTCAGAATTGATTCCACCGCTCAACTCTCGACTTTCGTCAAAAAGTGGAAGCCTGAAGTTGTTCGCCAGTAGGTAATGAAAGGAGGTAATGAAAGAGTTAAAGGATATGTGAAAGCTGCTCAATGGAACTACCGGGACAAAGGACATTTCACCATGATTTCGATATTGCTACCATCAAAACTCTTTCAACTATGAAAGGATTTCTGTGTTATCCCTAACACTTGGCCTAATTCCTAATTCGGCCCATTTTGTGATATTTCCATATTTCTCCTCTTTAATGAGCGATTGCCAATGTGTTTATCAGATTTCTATAAACACTCATCATTCGTTGGCGATAGAACGGCTTAGCGGTTGAAAGGTAACAATATCGAGTCGAAACTCGAAAGTTCAGCGGCCCACTATAACGCTAAAGGATAGAAACATTGAGCTTTTGCCCATTGATTCCAAGGGCCACGGCAATCAGCATCAGTCGCAAGCGGAGTAAAGGTGGAACGGATACTGACCCTTGCCGTACACAACTTGTATCCCACCACCAATGTACCCTAACCGCCTCTGAACTGCTTACTGGAAGAAGTTCCCCAGTGAGCTACAACACGTGCATTGAATTTTGTGGAATTTAAATTAAGTTTGAATTTTGTTCCTAATCCTGCCCTCCCCCCGTCGTACTTCTTGAAACGACGTTCCGTTGTTGCTGGGGCTGACGTTGTTATTAAGGTCACCCTCCCCTTCTGAAGCTCCTCAAGGTATCTTATCAGCTGTTATCACTCCCTGCCACCCACCAATGATGTCCCTTGCCCCCTATCTTACTCCTTGGAACCAACGTCTCGTCGTTGCTGCGGCCCGCGCCATGAATTAGGTAACCCACTCCTTCTAAGGCTCCTTATGGTATCTTATCAGCTGCTATCACTTCCTGCCACCCACCAATAATGTTCCCATCCTGCCCCCTATCTCACTTCTTGGATCCAACGTTCGGTCGTTGCTCTGGCAGGTGTTATGAATTAGGTAACCCACTCCTTCTAAGGCTCCTTATGGTATCTTATCAGCTGTTATCACTTCCTGCTACCCACCAATGATGTTCCCATCCTGCCCCCTATCTCACTTCTTGGATCCAACGTTCGGTCGTTGCTCTGGCATGTGTTATGAATTAGGCAACCCACTCCTTCTAAGGCTCCTTATGGTATCTTTATCAACTGTTATCACTTCCTGCCACCCACCAACAATGTTCCTGCCCGGCCCCCTACATCACTTATCAATTTGAGCGCACTATCGCTGTTTTGAAGGAAGTTATGAATTTCCGGTCAAACACATACTGTCATGAACCATGTTCATGACGCGATTGCCTTCCCCCGCCCTCGCTGGAGAGGCATGCAAATGGGCGAGACACGAAGGTGGGAACGCCCATACGATCGGGCAGTGTGGTACATCCGGGGCAGATGTCAGGCAGTCAGGTCGGTCTCCGATCGAGGATTCCCACGTGAGGACCGACGAGGTCTAGCTTAACCGCTGAAGACGGCGGATTCACCTGAGTCGACAGAAGGGAACGGTCAAGGAATCTGAGCTTCCGTTCAAGGAGTCAAAAGAGGTCAAACCTAGTCAAGAGACGCAGAGTCAAAGAATGGTAAATGAGTGGTCAGATTTCGTAGTTGGAATGTTAGCTTTCCCTTGAGAGTGATCAGATTGTAAGTATGAAATAAATGTGTGACTTTACGTTGTTGCGTGAAACGTAAAATGTAAGAACCACCAAACTACCTTCTGAGGAGTGATGCCCTCAGAACACATACGGACAGACACACAAAGATACACACACACACACACACACACACACACCAACGACAAACTTAGCGGATTATATATAGTAGGATTCTGCACTCTTAAGTCCACGCTAATACTATTCACAGGAGGGAGTGGTTTTGCCATAGCGCCTTAACTATGCGTGAACATATTAGGGTGTCCACAAAGTTCGTTGGCCATTTGCAGCGTCGTGTTACGCAACGCGTTGTGATTTTGCATAATGGTTTCGCAATACTGAAAGTACTCGCGATGGGCTATCTTCTGAGCTAGCTAGCTCTAAATTTCCTTTCCTGATCTTTCCACAATAAAGCAGTGAAGATGAGTGATAGTTGCTGGACTACTACAATCCAGACGTCAGGCCACGACCAGGATGCGTCAGCAGTTTGGTGATAACACCCCTTCTAAGAACTGGATGTCAAAATGGTGGACTCGCTTCACCAATGGAAACTATGGCATCGAAGATATGCCGAGGTTGGTTCTCTCGTCACGGCGTCGTCCACTATAGCACCCTACCCAACAATGCCACAGTGACGGCAGAGACCCTCTCTAAAGAATTACAGGAGGTCAAGGTGAAAGCTGCCGCCTTGTCCCAGAAACTTGCAAATCCGTGGTTGCTCTGGGACAACGCGCGCCCCCACAAAGCGAGAGATACTCAGGCCGTCCTGGACAGGCTGGGCATCAAGACGTTCACGCATCCACCATATAGCCCGGACATCAGTCTATGCGATTACCACATCTTCCGGTCCATGCGAAACTTCCTGGACGGAAAACAGCTGAAGAACGAGCGCGACCTCGAGGACGTGATCGAGGACTTGGGCGAGTCGCGGCTGGCCGGCTTCTGAGAGGATGGAGTTGCCTCTCTACCCGATCGTTGGCGAAAGGTGGTGGGTATGCATGGAGATTATATCATGGACCGGTAAGTTCCATTGCTCACCCACTGCAGCGCCGTAAATGATTGCAGGTGTTAATGTTCCGGCAACGCTAGTTGTACATTTTTCATACTACCTTATCAACCGCTTCCATCAAAAATTAAAAGATTTGTCTTTGAAGGTGTCACACTACCCATCGTTCTTCGGTCTTGGTTTTCCCCAAGTTTTCAATTTCCGGCACACCACCCCCCCCCCTCCCCACCCTCCCTTCCCTATATCACTTGCTGGAATCAACGCCTGAATGTTGCTGTGTACCGCGTTATGAATACGGTAGGGTTCCCGTTCTAATTCCCCTGCAGCTTCAGAGTTCGCGACGGCAGCGCTTCGGTCGTGCGTTCGGGCGATCGATATCGTCTGCGTACGACTGTGTCGATCGCTAGTGCTAGCGTACGATTGTGTAGCCCGACCGATTCGATCTGCAAAAATCGACTGGTCGGATGCTCACTCACAGGCATCTTGCTTACTTTTTCCTCCTTTCTCCTCCCCTTAGCTTCTCGCTTGTTTTTTCACCTTCCTACCACTACTCCTTTTCCTAATGTTTGTCGGTTATTATGCTTGTTTACCTTTACCATATTGAAATTTTCAGATACACTGGTATTTTTCGGACGAACATGTTGAGTGCGCGCACTTTCTTTATTTTTTAGGTGGGTTCTTCAGACTCGACACAACGCGATCGACGCATTCGTACGCGGGCGCGATCGATCGCCCGAACGCGCGACCGAAGCGCCGCAATGGCGAGGTCTGAACGCCACCTTATCAAAGCCTTATCAAATCTTATCAGCTGATAGCAGTTCTTTTCAGCAGACAGCATCTCAGCTGCTCATAGAAGGCAATCCTTGGGAGTGAATGCATCGCATTATCAATCAGAACGACAGTGATAACAATTCCTGGACAGACAGGCAGACGTAGGAAATCATATAATGTAGGTAGTGACGTAGCAAATTATATAATGTAGAAAGTAGGATAGTGAGATAAGTTTGTTTTCTGTTGCTATCGGAGAAAGGATTCCTCAAAGAAAGAGTCCGCATAGTGAGCCCCTATAATTGGAAGTATAGTGGTAAGAGATGTAGCGAGAATGACCCCTTGTCTATCATTACCAATTGATAAGACAACCTTTCATCAGATATCAATGTCGCTGTTACTAAATATCTGTAATTGGTAGTTGGGTTCTAGCACTCGACTGAGCAACAGCGGCAAAGGCAACGTTTCCCACGGGACCTTGGCAGCTGTTATCACTGTCTGTCACCTATCGTCGACATCACCTCCCGCTCTATACCACTTGCTGGAAACAATACCTATCTGAAGCTGTGTCTCGCGATATGGATATGGCGGCCTTCCAATTCTGACTCCCCTTATAAACTCTTATCAAAGGCTCTTTGTTCCTGTCCCTCTCTAATAGTGTTCCCACCACACCTCTCACATCACTTCCTGGAATCGATGTCTCACTGCTGCTGGGACCGGCGCTATGAATTTCGTGACAGACAGACAGACGCACACACACACACACACACGGACATAGCCGATTATATATAGTGAGATGAAAGCTGGACAAGAGGAAATGAACAAGGCAAAACATTCAAAAACGTCAGAGGCAATTTCTGCAATTTTGCAACTACCGTTGGTCACAAGAAGCCACCCACCCGCTACGATGTCTTTCGAGGACCTTATCGGACCTCGGAACGACACCGTAGCGAGATTCATTCGATGTTCAGATTTCTTCAGTGATCTCTGCAGTCTGGGAGAGAGAGAGAGAGCAATGAGTGGGTAAGTGCCTCTGGAACTTGGAGATCCGCTGGAACACACCGCCTTACAATCGGTGTGGAGTCTTTATAGTCGCCCAGTGGAAGAATTTCATGAGCGTCAGGACGACAAGCAGTAGCACTAGTTTGGAAAGCATCCCGTTAGTTGATCTTCCCCTCTCTATTCTATATTCATGTAGTCAGGAGTCACTAGATTGCCACTTATCTATCAAACATAAGTCTTGTAAAGAGACCAGTCACTTGGAATGTGCGCTTTTGCCATCTTCAGCCACTGAGAGCGAGCTCACGAATGTCAGAAGCGGGTTGTGCACTTCAGATTGTGCTGCCTTTTGCATATGCACGACACTCACTGTTTCTGATTTATCGGACCAAGTTGCCGTTTGAGGTAAATTCTGTCAATCTTATCGCACCTAATCTGATTTGTTGCCAACTTTCAGTCTATTTGAAAAACTACGGACTTTAGAGTCCTAGAACGAAAAAAGTCTACATGAGTTGGAAATGTGATCAGCTAGCCAATTTATGCAGAGCTAATTGATTGTAAATTCTCTCAGAATGACGTACTTTTTTCCATGCACTTCTCAGAGCAGGAGATGAGGCATCCACTATAAAGACGACTGACTTCATGGATTCGGATGTACCTTGTGTGCTCTAAATCGTCAAAATTCTGCATACGAATTATTCAGAGCTGGCCTGTGATGGAGTAAATTTCTTGGGACAGACACAGTAGCGCTCAGAAGTTGACCAAACGGCTTTGCCGCATAACTCTTTTTTCAGCCGACCAATTCCTTAGTCATATTGTTATTTTACCAATGAAAGCAGTATTTGCCTTGGAACACGGTGCACGGTTCGCGATTTTCTAGTCTCGCGGAGCTCAAATCTAGCACATAGCTCAAGTTTTTCAAATCTTCATCATCATCATCTTCATCATCATCATCATCATCATCATCATCATCATCATCATCATCATCATCATCATCATCATCATCATCATCATCATCATCATCATCATCATCATCATCATCATCATCATCATCATCATCATCATCATCATCATCATCATCATCATCATCATCATCATCATCATCATCATCATCATCATCATCATCATCATCATCATCATCATCATCATCATCATCATCATCATCATCATCATCATCATCATCATCATCATCATCATCATCATCATCATCATCATCATCATCATCATCATCATCATCATCATCATCATCATCATCATCATCATCATCATCATCATCATCATCATCATCATCATCATCATCATCATCATCATCATCATCATCATCATCATCATCATCATCATCATCATCATCATCATCATCATCATCATCATCATCATCATCATCATCATCATCATCATCATCATCATCATCATCATCATCATCATCATCATCATCATCATCATCATCATCATCATCATCATCATCATCATCAGTATTTGTCCCGCTCTGTGGCGGGCTCTTTCCGAGCACCTCGAGCTGGGTACCAGTTTTACAGACGGTGTCTCCCTTTGCACGGGGTACGTGGCCAAATCAGCGGAGACGAGGTTCTCGCATTTTATCAGATACAGGAGTTACGCAGGATTTCTTGCGTATGTCATCATTGCAAATCCAATTCATGCGCGTGACAACGGCCGTCCAGCGTAGCATTTTCATCTCCATCACGCTGAGGGGGTTTCAGCTTCTTAAGTCGCAGGCCGACACCCAGCCCTATACAAGATCTAACTGGTCTAACTACAGTTCTGTGGATCTTTGACTTGAGACGCTCCGGTATGTCTTGTCGCAGTCATAGAGAGCCATTCAGCCCATGCTGCACTCACGCGCAAGTTCGCCAGGCCAGGCCCATCATGCGCCATTTCTGACCTTGAATACTTGAAGGTTTTTCTTTACTTGAGCTCGATGCCACTGATCCTAATGGAATCGACTTCATTTGGGTGGGTCGTCAAGTTCTCAGTTTTCTTAGTGTCAGCGCCAGTCCAAAATTTGCCAGGCGATCAGATAAGGCTTGCACGTATTCTGCCCACCCACTCAAAGGGGTTGATTAACCAAATAATTCTCTAATTCTGCTTTTGTGCAATAGGCAATATTGCTAACATTTATCGAATCAAGAGACACTTTGAAACGGGCCCAGCGGTTCCTCAGTTAGAGCACGGGCGCACTGTAACCCTCATGAAATAAAACCAGTGTGGGAACTCTCAGAAGCCCTCCGTTTATTTTTTCACCAAAGAAGTTTCGAATCAAGCTCAAAAAAGCTGAGAATAATCTTACAGATTCTGGGCTTGGTCCCAGCGGAACTGATGTTGTGGTACCTTCAAGTCCTTTAAAGGTCGTTTCAAAATTGCCGCTACTATCTGGAGAGGTACGGGTCAGCGGACCGGCCTCTTTCTTTGTTGATGCTGTTGTTGTCGTCTTGGTAGATCCTCCTTCAGTGCCGGTGCTCTCAGTCGTTGTCAACTGGTCCTCTGCATCTTTATTGACTAGGTCGAGCATCCATTTCACTATATTTTGAAGCTGGTCCGGCTCCTCCTTCTGAAGATGAGTAGTTACTGTCTGGACTAATACAATTAGGATGGCAACTAACCTTCAAATCTGGTATGATCTTTTCATGATCCGGATCTGTTGCTATGTTGTCCATATTCGTTTTATTGGCAGGTTCTCCGACGCCGACATAAAATACGTTCACACCAGTGGAGTGCCACTGAAGTATGAGTAGACTGGATTCACTAACACGTTTTTCGGGCCTATCAGTTCTCTCCGTCTGACTTACCTCCGTCGGCAATGGTCTTTTCATCCCCTCCTACAACTCCAGGCTGGTGACAGGTGGTGCTCTGACCATTCGAGATTATGATTACACTTTTATGCTTGCTGGCTTCTTTCTAAATGCATTCTATGATGTACGCTAATTAGATAAGTTCATGTTACCATAAAAAATCAGTCGACACTTTGGTACAAGTTGTAAACCATGCAACGCTGAAGGATTTTTGTCGCCTGTCACAAACTTGACCAATTAATGTATTCATACCGCTCCCTATAAAGGTCTATGGTGTAAGTAGTGTGCTAAAATCAACCCGTTCCCGAATCAAGCTGATTCATTCCAATTTACCTTATGATGAAACGTACTCACGAGAAGAAGCTCTCTTAGCTATGTCGTATGCTTGATATGTAGCGAGTTTTTTTCCACTGGATTTATATGGTAGCAGATTCTTTCTGAAAACCTGGTTTTTCTCCTTTAATACAACATGTCTCTCACCATTAGTTAGGAGTCTTCTGCACGCCAAAATTATGTTTTGGTGGCTAGACGCTAATCACTCACAATTGGGTAACTGCTAATTAATGAACGGGAGCTCCATGTAGATGAGGAGCTCTGCCGTCCTCGAAGAATGTTTCCAACATACTAGTCTACTGGCCTCATTGAAACATTGCTTTTCCTATTTCCCTTTATAGAAAACAGAACAGAAGTGAGCAACGCCAGAGTGGGGGGGGGGAAACCCCTGCAAAACTTGCTGAGAGAATCGTTTCACAAACACTCGAAGCAGATTCAAGCTAAGGATCTCAAGACGCCTCCACCGGTGTACACTTCATTGCAGGTGGTCTCGAATATTTTTTCGTGGTGAGCTATAGCTTCACAAAGATAGTCCTTCCTCCTTTTTCTTCTTCTTCTCCCTAGCGTTAGTCCCGCGCCGTCGCAGGGTCCGCTGTTCTTGTTAGACGTCGCCACTTGTTCCGATCCACTGCATCTTCTGCCGTGGCTTTCACTTCAGTGAGGTCCTTCTTGATGACGTCCCTCCATCTTTTCTTTGGGGCTCCTCGTGGTCGCTTGCCCTCTGCTTCGAATTCCAATGCCTTCCTTATTGGGTGGTCCTCAGGCCTTCTCAGCACGTGCCCATACCATCGCAGTCGCTGCTCTCGTGCCTTCAGCTGGATCGGAGGTCTGTGTGACCGCCCTGACGTCCTCGTTTCTGACTCTGTCGAGTCGTGTCCAGCCGCAGGCCCATCTCAGCATCCTCATTTCAGCTGAGTGGAGCTGCCTTTCATGGTTCTTGCAGATAGGCCAGCACTCAGCCGTAGAGCATTGTAGGCCTTACCACCGCCCGGTACACCTTGCCCTTGAGCGTTCTCGAGCACCGCCGGTCGCACAGGATGCCAGTGGACTCCCTCCATTTCATCCAGGCTGCGTTGATTCGGGCCTTCACCGCCTGGTCCACGCTGCCATCAGCTGCTAGGTCGCTCCCCAGGTACTGGAAGTCCTCGACCCTTTCGATGCTCTCGCCATGGCAGTCTACGATGAGGTTCGGTACACTCTTCGGAG